TGCTAATGCTATACTTTATTTGGTTCTCTTGAAAAATTGAGAAAATGTCCTTGTCTGATGATCTGGAAGGCATTTTCCATTGTTACTAATCACAACTCATGCATGTATCAATGACTTAATTTCTGTTAAACATTACTAATTTTCGAATTGAACGTGAGAACTTGCAAGAGATATCTGGGAAGTTTGCACTTTGAAGTTAATATATTCGAATTTTTTTTTTAAATTCCAATATACAATAATGCCCTTTAATTTATATATTGTAATAAATTGCTTACTTTCAGCCAGAATTGTAACGAATTATACTTTTAAATGACGAAGTTTGATAGCCCAATTTTTAATGATGAACAGATGGAATAGCTGGAACCATTTTGGCTGCAATATTAATGAAGACTTGATTAAACAAACAGGTGATGACTTTATTATCAATCTGTGAATAAAACTAATCAATGTACTAAAATTTCTTTATATATCTATTTAGGGAGAATCCCAAAAAAATATGTTTGAATTTCAAATTTTCAAATCAATCTGGTTTATTATACTCTAATAACAATTTACAATCTTTGAAAAACAAATGACAACACATTTTTATAGTCATTTTTTATTTGAGATTTTGAAATTTTAGAGGTTTTTTTTTTTGGGGATTTTCCCATCTATTTATTCCTTTTATGTGAGACTTGGTTTTAATTTACATTGTCTCACGCCTTTTGATTATGGCACAGCTGATGCAATGGTGTCAACGGGCCTTTCTTCTCTGGGGTACCAATATATCAATATTGGTAAGCTAATGTTACATTAGCATAATTATTTGTAACAAATAGCTGATTCATTATATTCCTTAGGAAATTATTTTTTTAATCATGATGTTCTATTATCCCTAGATGATTGTTGGGGCGAATCTACTCGAGATTCTCAGGTAACTAATATTAAAAATCAGTTTCAATAATCATCTCATCATCAAAAGGCTTATTTTAAAACTTTTCTAGTCATGTCGGTCCATTAATAGGTAGAAATCTGATATATATGAACTGTGGCAGGGAAATTTGGTAGCAAAAGCTTCAACATTTCCCTCAGGAATCAAAGCTCTGGCTGATTATGTTCACGCAAAAGGTTTAAAGCTAGGGATTTATTCTGATGCTGGGTATCACTTCCACCATTACTCCACTCTTTAATGTTCAATAACCACTTATATATATATATTTATATTATCTGTGCTCATTCAAACATTTCTCATCTCTCTTAAACTTTCCCTGCAGAACTCAAACTTGCAGTAAAAGACAGCCCGGATCACTTGGACATGAAGACCAAGATGCAAAAACCTTTGCTTCCTGGGTAATCTAATCTTCATTCTCATTAACTTTTATCAAATATATGTAAAATTTACAGAAGATTCTGATTCAACTGTTACTTTAGGGAGTTGACTACTTGAAGTATGATAATTGTGAAGATACACATGGACTTAGTCCAAAGGAGAGGTATGAATTTGAAGGCTTCAAGTGAACATAAGAAGCGGTTTACGTTATGGAAGAGGAAATTGATCATTACATTTTGTGGATACAGATACCCCATAATGAGTGAAGCTTTGTTAAAATCTGGAAGGTCCATCTTATTCTCTCTCTGTGAATGGTGAGCATTCCACATACTCTTTCTCACAAGATTTCATATGCTGCAAATTTCACAAGATGCATCTGTTTCTGAACTTAGGGGAGTAGAAGACCCTGCAACCTGGGCCTCAAGTGTGGGAAATAGCTGGCGAACAACAGGCGATATTGCAGATAATTGGGACAGGTGACCAAGAATACACACACCCACTGTGTTTTAACCTGAACTCAATGTAGAACTTGAACAATGTGCTTTATGTTGCACGTATTTTGTACTAATAATGCCAATGGCCTTGTAGCCTAATGGCATGAAAGATCCCTAAAAGTGGAAGGTCATGAGTTCAAACCCACTTGCAATAACCTGTGTCTGCGCCTTTAATTTAAAAAAAAGAATTGTACTAATAGTGTTTCCTTGTTCCACAGCATGACATCTCGTGCAGATCAAAATGACAAATGGGCATCTTATGCTGGACCTGGAGGATGGAATGGTAAATGAATTCACTTTATTTGCATGCTATTGAACCTCACAAGTCACAAGATTGTGAACAACAACATTATTATTCATAATATCAAATCTCAACTTATTCAAGGAACTGAACAATAAGCAGTTATTTTGATTGGTAACAAGGGATGTCATATCTTCCCGTCAGCTTGGTTTATGTTCTGAAACAATGTGGGAGTAAAATTTTAGCAAACAAACATTTGTGACTCTGTCAGAATACTTTTGCTTCTATTTATTACCACATTATCAACAGACATGTTTGGTGTCAGATCCTGATATGCTTGAAGTGGGAAATGGAGGCATGACAACGAAGGAATATAAAGCTCATTTCAGCGTATGGGCATTAGTCAAGGTAGAAGGAAACTTAATACTAACACTGTCCTTTATCACAATTAGATAATCTTCTAGGAAGTGAATTCTACATTTTTTTAAGTATTTTCTTGTGTATATGTTACAAGGCTCCTTTGTTGATTGGATGTGATATCCGAGCCATGGATAATACAACCTATGGAATTCTAAGCAACAAGGAAGTTATTTCAGTAAACCAAGGCATGTACAGAACAAAAACTCTTCTAGCTTGCTTTCTAGGCAGATAAAAGCATTGCTTATCTCTTCACAAAAAGAAATTTTCTCATACTTGTAGTCTTCTGTCTATGCAGATAAACTAGGAGTTCAGGGGAAAAAGGTGAAAAGTAATAATGATTTGGAGGTAATGTCTTTCTTTTCATTGGGACTAAGATTCCCACCATCATCACTAATGCCACTCTATGCTTTACAAATTTCACTGCAAAGCAATCAAACTGCTTTCAAAGTCCAACTAAAATTCAAATGAGTTTCTTTTTACATGCATATTGATTTGGGTTATAATCAAGCTTTGAATTGAAATAGTTCAAAGCATGAAAACTTAAGTTATCAGGAACATGCACCTTTTTCATGCTTTAAAACAAATGAGCTTTCACGTGAAAAGGTGTATTGGGATAAGAAAATTATTGGTAAACATTCATTCACTTTTGTGACTATACCTGACAATTTTCCCAAGTGCAAACTACTTAGAAGAAAGTGAAAGTGACAGGTTTGGGCTGTTCCATTGAGTAATCACAAGGTGGCGGTGATCTTATGGAATAGAAGTTCATCAAAGGCAACGGTCACTGCATCTTGGTCTGACATAGGCCTAAACGCTAAGACTGTAGTTGATGCAAGGGACTTATGGACTGTGAGTTACATACTAAAAATTTATAGTGCTCTTCACAATTCATTGTACATAAGATGGCCATCATTTTGATTACATATAATGAATTGTGCAGCATTCAACTCTATCATCAGTTTCTGGGAAAATATCCGCTGAATTGGAATCACATGCTTGCGAGATGTATGTTTTGACTCCACATTCCAAAACCAGTTCCTAGTTCCAGAAGCAGAGAAGAGTACTAAAGTGGTTGCTGCTATTCAATGTTCCCAGAAGTAATAGAGAAACAAATATGAATTTACTTCAAAAGAGAATGTACAATTAAAAGTACAAGTTAGACTGCCAATTTGCTTACATGAACAAATATGTTACTAATTAAATTTGATCTCTAACAGTCAAATAATTTTATGCTGCAAGAGCAATCAGAAACACACCATCAGTTGCCATAGCAAGCATAAACATGCAGAGCATACTTACATATTTAGTGGCATAGTCTATTGAAATGGTAAAGGCCAAGCACAAATTGATTAGTGAATCAAAGGGATACGAAGCAAATATTATGAAAGGGACAAAGAATCCGTAAAACAGAGAGGGTTAGGGAAAGTTAGGATACAGACTCCTCTTTAGTACAGTATTATCCAAAGAAAAAAAAGGGGCATGCCCTGCAATTAATTTGAATGGCCTATCCTAAAGCCAGCGAAAAAGGCTATATCCATAATCTAGATTTGAAGGTGACAATACTGATGAGGGTCAAATTAAGGAAAAAAGGACCATATATAATCATAATTAGGTGAACTTAAACAGATCTCAACATTCTTGTGACTCGTATAATCAAATTGTCTAAACCTTTGAGAGAAATGTATAGGAACAGCTTAAGATTAAGTTTTTTTTCTTTAGAGCTTTATGAATACTTTTTGTTGCTTGAGATTTGAATCGTTGGCCAGGCTATATAGCATTGTTTCAGATGCGGTCTTCCAACATCATAGTACTTTTATAATAATGTGAACAAAGCGTATTTTTTCTCAGATATCACTGGACGAAGTAAAGACTAATTCAAATATATTGGTGAATAAAAAGAAGCCTGGACAAACAACATTGGAAGCTCAGTCTCATGGAGTTTGACCTGTTGTCTGATCCCGAGCGTAAGAAATGACATGAATGAAACAAATCCATCTTCATCACATTGCACCGAAGTCCTAAAGTCACACTTTGGATCTACAACCATAAATCAGATATCACAGTTCCTTCATATGCCTCATCCTACAGTTCAGGGAATTGACCAGCCAAAAATGGTATAGTTTGTTTAATAGGGGGTCAAAAGCGTCTTTTCTGCATTTCTGGCCTTCGCCTTCCCATCCAAATTCAATAATACCAAGCACCCACACTTATCTAACATAATTTAAATCCAACATCTGTAAAAACTCCGAAGTTATTGATAAATTAATGATGATGTTGAATGAAGTAGCTATCTATGAGCATTTAGTTGTGGACTGACATCATAATGTAGACAAAGAAAAGTACAAAAAATGTAGCGTATTGAATTCAAAAACACACATTAACCAATAATTTATTACATGCGGATAACCTAATCTGATAGTGTTTGAACTTTTGAAAACCAATCAACAACCGCTAAGCCTCATTATGCCTGCAAACCCCACCCCCTCTTTCTCCTATATATATAGATAGATATACAGGTGAAACCATAAAGTAGGAGGCTTCAAGATCAAGCTTTAGAGTTTAGTTAAAGAAGGAAACAAAGAAATGGGGTATATGGGAAAAGATGAATCAGATTTATGGGGAAGCTTGTTGAGGCTGATTCTGCTGTTGAGTGCTATAATTAGTGCTTCATCTGCTTCTTCTCCTTTCAACAGAAGCACTTCAGATCAGTTTAGAAGATTCTTGCTTGACAATGGACTTGGTCGTACGCCTCCGATGGGGTAACCTTTCTTGTTTCTACTAGTTCTCTTTTTCATTCTCATGCTCATCATCTTCCAGCTTCGTTCATACTTTCTTCACACACACACGTATTTATATTCTCATCTGTACCTCTCTTTTTCTTCTTTTGTTATATTAATTCCCATGTTTAATAGCTTCATTAGTTATTGCTTAAAGAGAACAGATATCTATATGGATGAGGAAAATTTGGAAGCCATTGATGTTACTGGTCAGTTGGAATGTGTAAGGGTCTGATTTTTAAAAAGAAAAAAAAAATAAAAAACGCACTCAATAGAATTGGAGTGGAGAAAATGATGCAAACCTAACATTTAAAGTTTTTGGTCCATCATACCTCTATGTTTTCTCATAAAGTCAAGTACAAAAAAAAAAACACACACACACACACACAAAGAAAGAGAGTTTTTCCTGGTTCTATTGATTGAGATGATAGAGACTTTAGTTATTTTCAAAGAGAATCTGGACACCGAATTTTACAAATGAGACAGAAAGGCAGACAAAGAGGTTTTATCCAACTCATTAATTTAGCTTATCCAACTTGACTTTAGCTAACATCAATATGACTCCTGAAATAAACCCCACGGGGTTAGGTCGACTGGTTGGGGTCATCCTAGCTTAACCACGGATCTCGGGTTCGAGACGTGGGAACGCAGCACTCCAAGGGGCTAGGGGGCGCCGTCTGTATGGATCCTTGCAAGCCCCCGAATCCGGATTAGTCTGGGGACGTTGTCACGGTTGAAAGACGCCTATTTCCCTGGGATACCGGATGGAGTAATCAAAAAAAAAAAAAAATATGACTCCTGAAATATTGCGAGATTTAATATATCCAACAGATATTTTAAAATTAACCTGTATATAAATTTAGGTTCGACAAGAATTTGCACTATTTATAAATAATAAATAACATATATAATATAAGATCAGTATAACCTATCTTTATTATGTAAAGCATGGTTAACTACTTAACTCAGTCTAGGTATATGTGTCAAGAAGGATTGGCAATACATACATACAATAAAAGTTTGCATAAATTTTAGAAATGTTATTAACCGACAGTTGATCCAACGAGAAACTCACGTATGGTTGGTACGAAGGACATGAAGGAAAAGAGAGAGAATGAAACGTTTTGATGAACTTGATTTGAAAAATAAAAGAAGTGAAGTTGTAAAATTTTAATAATAATATGTAAGATAAAATAGTAAAAAAATTGATTAAAAAGGTACTTTTACGTACTTACTTCAAATTTCATAAAATTACTTTTAAAAATTTAATCCAAAAATAAACCTCAAGGGCTTGGACCTGCCGGTTGTATGTAATATAAAAATAAAGAAGCACCAATATCTAATAGACATTTAGATGGAACACCATACTTAAGTGGCTGTCACCTTCAGAGTCGGCTTTGTATATAACGGCACTCCAACTGGCCATGCTTGCTTCTCATGTCTTTTTCTGGGTCCTTACTTCTTTATTATTCTCATAAATAAATAAATAAATAATTTATGGCCTTCCAAGGACGTCGGCAATAAGATGTGACAATGTGGGAAAAAGAAAATTCACCAACTATATATGGTGCTTTTATTTAATTAGATATGCCTCTTGGTATTTGTTTGTACTTGATGTTAAAAATCGGAGTTAGTCGGTCAATGACAAGCACGCTTGTGGATTTTAGTACAATTACGCATTAATATTCCACAAAGATTAGGTTTTGATGATCCATTTGACGTTTTGTTTCATCTAACCCCATTTTTTATCATATAAAAATAATAAAATAATTGTTTATGGGCTCATATACGTCTTCTTTTCCCACATGCACAGTTGACTTTACTCACCTCATCAGGTTTCTAGACGCTTATAATTAAATTTATATTACCTCTTATTCTTAATATAAGATCTTATTTGATTTTTATTTTAGTCCTAAATATAAGATCTTAATCCACTTTATCTCTTATATTTATACTTTTTTTTTTCCAAGATACTCCTCCTAACAATGATAGTTATAGCCAATACACTTAATTAGCAAGGATATTTTAAGAAGGATAGCACATATTTATTACAAATAACTAACTTAACTTCTTTCTTTAATCTCCTTAAATTAGTCAACTAGCTCTTATAATTAGGACCGGATGTAGTATTATTTAAAAGAGTGTCATATTTATTTTATGTGATGTTGATTAAATAATTTAATTTCTATTTGTAGTCAACTATTTTGCAAATAATGAAAGTTTGGTATAACCAATTATGACTGATGATCAGATGGAATAGCTGGAATCATTTTGGCTGTCGGATTGACGAGAACTTCATCAAACAAACAGGTAATGACTTTTGTATCAAATCCGTGAATTAATTAAATTAATGCCCCAAAATTATATTTATAATTAATTTGGGACTTTTTTAATGAGAAATTCACACACACACAATATTAGTTAATATTTACTTGGTTATGGATTACATATTTTGATTATTACACAGCTGATGCAATGGTGTCAACGGGTCTTGCTTCTCTGGGATACCGATATATTAATATTGGTAAGCTAATCTTAAATTAATTAACGTAATTATTTATAGCAAATAGCGGTTTTTATCATACTCTTTAAAATAAAAAATTTGAATTCATGATTTTCTATGATTTTTAGATGATTGCTGGAGTGAAGCTACAAGAAACTCCCGGGTAAATTATATTCAACATTCTTTTCATCATTTTAAAATAATTATTGGGATGAAGGGCTAACAAAAAATTTTGGTTGCATAACAAAACTAGATGCTATTAGAACCACGGGTAAATTTTGTAACATGCTCGTTTTGCCCTCAAGATAAGTGGAAGAAATTAAATTAATAAAATAACATCTGTGTAATGGGTTAGTGAGACTGGATCTATCTTCTGAGAACACCTCAGTTAATACATGAACTTGTATGCATTGTGAAAATCTAATTTGTGGCAGGGAAATTTGGTACCAAAACGTTCAACATTTCCTTCAGGAATCAAAGCCCTGGCTGATTATGTTCATGCCAAAGGTCTAAAACTGGGAATTTATTCTGATGCTGGGTATCATTTCCACCATTAAACCTCTTTTGTAAATACATAGGAGTTTATTGAGGCATTTTTCTGATATCTCCTACCCTCTGCAGAACTCTAACCTGCACAAAGAAGCAGCCTGGATCACTTGGACATGAATACCAAGATGCAAAAACATTTGCTTCCTGGGTAATCTCTACTTAAGCTGCATTCATTTCAATCTACATGCATAAACTATTGTTGTGATGGAGACTTGGTAGTATGTGATACTAAAAAGTCCTACATGGAGTAGGATGGATGCTCAAGAGGGCATTTAAGTGGGCTGGTTCTGCCATTCTGTTACCTTAAGATCCTGATTGAAATGTTACTACAGGGAGTAGACTACTTGAAGTATGATAACTGTGAGGATACACATGGTCTTAGTCCAAAGATAAGGTATGAACTCCAAGGCTTTGAGTGTATAAGCAGTTTGTGAAAGAGGAAATAGTTACATGTTGTGAAATGTGAACACAGGTACCCCATAATGACCCGAGCTTTGATGAAAGCTGGAAGGCCAATCTTCTTCTCTCTCTGTGACTGGTAAATGTTCCATATTACTACTTCTTCCCCTCAGTTTCTCTAAGGTTCCTGAAACCGCATTTTTTTTCTCTTGAGAAATTATGAATTGCTTTCTGAACTCTTAGGGGAAGAGAAGACCCAGCAACTTGGGCCAGAAACGTAGGAAATAGCTGGAGAACAACGGGAGATATTGAAGACAACTGGTTCAGGTGATTAGTCCATCAAATCATAACCTGAATTGTGTACTCTATTTTACATTCATTCTGTACTGATAATGTTACTTGTTTCTCAGTATGACATCTCGTGCAGATCAAAATGATAGATGGGCATCTTATGCTGGACCTGGAGGATGGAATGGTAATGAATCTCTCTTGTTATTTGTATCATTCTATTGAACAAATTACCCAAATGCTTAAACATCAATTCTACTTGGACTCACTGGAATTCATCTGGTATACCAGAAGAATAATAAAGTGAGGAAGCAGGCCTTAATGATAACCCAGAAAGAAAAGAGTGACATACTGAGCAAGTATAGATCTGACATTTTCAATGTATATATTTGGAAACAGATCCTGATATGCTTGAAGTGGGAAATGGAGGCATGACAACTGAAGAATACAGAGCTCATTTCAGCATATGGGCACTAGTCAAGGTAGAATATAATGAAATAAATAAGTAATTTTTGGGAGAAAATGAATGGATTTTGCAGTATAAGTATTTGCTTTTTGTGTGTTTTTATGCAGGCTCCTTTATTGATTGGGTGTGATATTAGATCTGTGGATAAAACAACATATGAACTACTCAGCAACAAGGAAGTTATAGCAGTAAACCAAGGCATGAACTGAACACATCATCAAACTCTAATATCATATCCTTCTTCATGCATAAGTCGGAAAGCATTGATCTCTTCAATACAAAATGCTCTAAAACTTACCATCTCATTATCTTCATGCAGACAAGCTAGGAGTTCAAGGGAAAAAGGTGAAAAGCATCTACGGTTTGGAGGTACTATTATCTCTCTTTTTCCACATTCACCTATTGAAAATTTGCTTTAAGTGCCACCTACAATATGACACAAAAAGATAGAAACTTGCAAACTATTTGATTCAAACTCTTATTATTGGTGAGAGTGTAAATGATATAACACTCAATATCTGATGATCTTTTTGTTGTGACAGGTATGGGCTGGTCCTTTGAGTGATTACAAGGTGGCAGTGATCCTATGGAATAGAAGGTCATCAAAAGCGAAAGTTACAGCGTATTGGTCTGACATAGGCCTCAAACCAGGAACCACAGTTGATGCAAGAGATTTATGGGCTGTGAGTTTGTTTACTTGAAAGCTATAAGTACATATATAGTTCTTATTCATCATATTAAGATGGCCCTATGTGTTCATAATTTCTTATGATGGATTGTGCAGCACTCAACTGAATCTTATGTTTCTGGGCAAATCTCAGCATATTTGGACCCACATGCTTGCAAGATGTATGTTCTTACTCCCAAATATCATGGCACTTCCTAGATGTGTTTGTGGCTGTTGAGGATTCCCAGAAGTGGGACAGAAAGAAATAAAAATGAGTGTATTGAGTCCCTTGAGAGGTTGACTCAGTTGTCAAGGATAAGATGAGATGTTAACAGTGATTAGGGATAAATCATTGATCACTATTTTAAATAAATGTGAGAAGAAACATGAATCCAAGATGTAAATTTGGTTTCATGTGGAAATGCAGAAATAGATGTGGTGTATCATTTAATTTGAATTTTAAGCTAATTTAAGCTTCTGCCATGTTAATATAATAAGATTTTTAAGCTCTCCAAAGCATGTCAATTGATATTATATATATACATATATGTGTGTGTGTGTGTGTGTGTGTAGTATTGAGTACTACTAAGTTAAATCTATGCATTTTTAGCCTGATTGAGGGAAGCTCTCTCAACATGATTTTTTGTGTTTTTGTGCACAAGATTCAAATACTCAACTTTAATTTAAGAAGAATTTTTGACCAAAAAAAGCTTTATTTAAGAAAAATTGAGTTGTTTTCTGCTCAATCCAATGGTTATTGAATTTTCTTGCTGGGCAACAGAGGTAGTTCCAAAGACAGGACCCCTAAAGGCAATTTTTGGCCTTTTCTTTTCGGGTCTGGCAGAATTCCAAGCGATTATCAAATGTCAGATTTTCACAAATGGACGCAAATAATGCAAGATCCTCTCAACAAACACAATAATTTTTTATATAATTGTTTTGTGGTTCGTGAGCCATAATAAACTTCTTGTGGAATTTAATTTTATAGCATAAACATGGCAATCTTGTATCTCCCACTATAACTAACTTGATTCAATTTTACCTCCAAAACTGTTTCCCCCTGCGCGGAGTTCGCTTATCAAGGACTTAGCTTTGAAACTTCAAAATTATGTTTTGAGCAGTGTAAGAATCAAGTACATTTGCCTCTTGAAGCCCCCAAGAAGCGATACGAATTAATTCTAAAATTGAAAAGGCCTCATCCTCTTGTAACATCTGCAATAGAGAAATTCACAGAACTGGATTTGCTTCATTTTCATCTTCCTGCTTCTCTCGCATGAGGTAAAGCTGTAAACACAGCTTCTCAGACCTGATATTGAGAAGGGAGAACTGTGCCAAGAAGCTGAGATAGTAAATGCCATTGCGTCTTCCATCGCTTTCTAATTTCAAGAGGCCTCTGTATTTATGGAACCTTATCATTCGAGACTCCACCAACAATGGGTTATTCTCAGAAACGCTAAATATATACTCTTCCATGGCTCGCTGTGGGTTTGTTGGTAACAGCTTCACTTATCCTCTGGTCCTCAAGGCCTGTGGAAAGATTGCTTCTATTCGAGATGGAACGAAGATTCATGGTCGTATACTGAGACTTGGCTATGGAGAAGACGCTTTTATTCAAACTGCTCTCATTGATATGTACTCCAGATGCTCTGAAATTGTTTATTCACGCCTTGTGTTCGATGAAATGCCTGGTAGAAGCGTGGTCTCTTGGAATGCCATGATCTCTGCTTATTGTCGAGGTCCTTGGTTGGACGAAGCACTAATTCTGTTGAAAGAAATGTGGATTTGTGGTTTTATCCCGAATTCTTCCACATTTGTTTCCATTTTATCAGGTTATTCCAATCTAACTGCTTCCAGCAAGTATCTTCTGCCGGGGCTATCAGTACACTGTTGCTTGATCAAACATGGCCTAGAATTTTCCGATATTTCATTAACCAATTCATTGATGACTATGTATGTGCATGTTGGTCAAATAAATGGAGCATGCCAAGTTTTTGGCATGATGCATGATAAGTCATTGATTTCTTGGACAACTATTATCGGTGGTTTTCTTAAAGTGGGGAATACTGAAGAAGCATTTAGAGTATTTCATCAAATGCGATGTCAAAGTACTGAATTAGACTCTGTTGTGTTTCTGAATCTAGCTTCTGGTTGTATACAAGTGGGAAATCTTCAGTTGGCTTCATCCGTTCACTCTCTTATACTCAAAAGTGGATGTGATGAGGAGGAATCCATAGAAAATGCGCTTGTCAGTATGTACGCGAAATGTCGTGACCTTTCATCTGCTAGAAGGATATTTGATCTGGTTAATGAAAAAGGCATTTTATTATGGACATCTATGATTACGGGCTATGCTTCTTCAGGCCATCCTATGGAATCATTGGAACTATTTAGAAAGCTACTTAGGACAGATATCAGACCAAATGTAGTAACTCTTGCGACAGTTGCTTCAGCTTGTGCTGATTTGGGATTTCTGAGCATGGGACAAGAGATTGAAGAATACATTTTGCTAAATGGGTTCGATATTGATAAGAGAATCCAAGCGTCTCTCATACACATGTACTCAAAATGTGGACGCATCAAGAAAGCAAGAGGCGCATTTGAGGGAGTAAAGGATAAAGATTTAGTAGTCTGGGCTTCCATGATAAACGGTTATGCCATTCATGGGATGGGCAAGGAGGCTATAAGCCTTTTCCATAAAATGCTAAAGGAAGAAGGTTTAATGCCTGATGCAATAGTTTACACTAGCATTTTACATGCCTGTAGCCATTCAGGATTGGTGGAAGATGGACTGAACTATTTTAAAAACATGAAGGAGGAATTTGGAATAGATCCCACAGTAGAACATTACACTTGCCTGGTAGATCTTCTTGGCCGAGTCGGTCGGCTTGATTTAGCCCTAGATATCATCGAGGGCATGCCACTTGAAGCACAACGACAGGCTTGGACCCCATTTCTTAATGCCTGTAGGGTTCATGCTAACATTCAGCTGGGAGAGCTGGCAGCTGCAAAATTGTTGGATTTAGGTCTAGGAAGACCTGGAAATTATGTGTTGATGGCTAATTTGTATACATCTTTGGGCAAGTGGAAGGAGGCACATATGATGAGAAAATTGATAAATAGTGAAGGATTGGTTAAAGAATGTGGCTGGAGCGTGGTTGAGATTAACGGTAGATTTAATATGTTTTCTGCAGGAAATCATTATCACCTTCAGTTAGTTAATATCCACAAGACACTAGAAGAGTTAAATGCTTCTCTCTTGGAAGCTAGTTTTATAGCAGAAGCAATGACTGAAAATAATGATCTGTAAAAGAAAACAGATTACGACTTGTAAGGAATTTTGAAATGATTTTGAGCATGCAAAGTTGAATTTGCACTTTTAATATAAACATGGGCCTCTCACCACCGCTATACGACGATTCTTCGGTCAAGTGCCGGCCAAGTAATTCATTAATATTTGAAGGACTAACACGCAATATTAGTTTTCTTTGGTAACATTACCAGTATTTCGTACTATCCCCTAATTTAGATTTGAACAATGTTGGGTTTTTTTTTTTTTTTGGGAGAGAACTTTATCACAGCCTAGGCACTCAACTTTTAGGCACTAGTATCAAATAGTTGGGTTAATATAATCTTTGGTCCTTCAAGATTGTCTTCATTTTGGTTTTAGTCCCTCAAATTTCAAATAATAGGTTTTGATCCCCTAAAGAGCAAAATAATTTAAGTATTCATTAAATTATAGAGACTGATATTTTAAATGAAAAAAAAAATTAGGGGATTAAAATCTATGATTTGAAATTTAAAGGACTAAAACCAAAATAAAAATAAACTGAAAGGATTAAAATTTGTATTAACCTTAAATAATTCCAACAATTTTATAAATTTTCTTTTCATGTGGTATTATCATCGGATCTTCTGTGTTTATATTTTTAGCAAAAATTTTGGATACTCAAGTATTAAAAAAAAATGAATTTGCAGCATAATTTATTTTAATTTTATTGTTTTCTTCATGGCTATATTCATTTGCAGTTCTTCTGTAAAACTTTAAAGTGATACCTGTGCATTATTACATGATTCTGTTTCACCTGTACAACCCAGTTGCTATTTTCACATAGATGAAGTTAGCTAATTAAGGACGACATTGCTAGAGACTCAAAACAATGAAAATGAGATATTGTTACTCAAACATGAAAAATCATGGAGCATTTCTAGTAACAATCATTTGGCGCTCAACAAGCGATTTCTAGTAACAAAAGTAATTTATTGTGGCCATTGCTGCCCAAATTACAGACTCCTCCGGAAGGATCATTAATGCGCATACCTAGTGCCATTGAATCCTTCCAAACACCCAATAAAGTGCACAACTCATCAATGAAACATCTGGTATCTGACATTTTTCCCGTGTGAGAATGGCATTTGGCCAACATGTTCAACACATCATTAACACTATGCACATATTCTTTCTCTTGCTTTGTTCATGATTCTCGAGGTCCTCGCATCTTGTCAACAAAGTGCTTGCTCTTTTCTCCAATATGACGTTTCTTTTCCTCAAATTTCTCACTCATCTTCCTCCGGAGAATATGCATCTTTTCCTTTCTCCCCATTTTCTTAGGCCTTGTCTCATCCATACTATGTTGTCTCTCCAACAGAGTACCACTCATCCTGGGTGTTGATGAGGACGAACTATCTTCCATCTTATGTTCCCTAATGTCTTGTGACCTAACATTCTGTAACAAAAGTTGTCTAGGTTCTCTCGAGTCCTTAGTTTCTTGAGGTTTAACCTCCTCAATTGAAGACAAAACCGGCTCTTTTAAGTCTATCGTTTCTTGTGGTCTTTCTTTGTCCTCCAAAAACAATGTTGTCAATTCTTCCACACTATCTGCTTTACGGAAGGAACTTGATGGGACTCGTCGAGCATCTATTGATTTGTTCGCTGGTTCTTGATTAAATTCAGCACTTTTTTGTTTTTGTTGATCATGCTCTGGATTATCAGTTGAGCTCCTTGCACTAGCTCCCATTAAATTGGAAGTCTCAATCCCAGATGTTTGGTTAGGCCATATGAATGGAGCAACATTAAAAGGAACCCAGTCATCTTGTTCTGCTTGCATGAACGGGATGCAAATGCATTCACAATTTGGTAGCACTATGTTTTCACGGATTCCTATCTGCAGGGGTGGAATTAGATTCAGTCTAAAAGTCAAGGCATCCCTAATCCGTTTCCGAAAGACAAAACTGAAGCACATTAGAGAAGAGGTTCAGGATATCAGTCATCCGGAACTCTTAAATGTATTCATACAAATACGCAAAAAATAGAAGGGCTTCCGCCAGAGACAAGGACAAGAAGGAATAAAAAATGTTTCACCCAAAAAAAAAAAAAGTGTGTGTGTGTTACATAGCCGCCCTTTCTTCTGTGTCTTTTTAGAAAATAACAATCTGTGTTCTAAATTTCTAATCCTAACTTGAGATTGTTCAGATCCATAACTGAGCAGCAAGCTACAACTGCAGATCAATTTATCATCATTATCATAATTTATGTGCACGGGGAAGCTAAATCTTAATTTTCGAAATTCTAAAATTTTCTGATGAATATGTAATTTTTCACTGGTTCCTACATGAATGGAAAAAAAAAAAATTTAAAATTCAGAGGTACGGCCAGGTACTAATGAAAACAATAATCTCTAGCCACACACTTGAAAGCAAATATAACTTTCTGGAATGTCATATACATTCAACCTTTCCATGTCTTTCCAGAGGAATTTCCGTTGTAAATGATTTCCTATACTACATATGAATTATTTCTAAGTTCTAACTATATTAAATGAAAAGCACATAGGAATTTGGGAAAGAACGAAATATTTGAAACTTGATAATCTTAAACAACCACTGCAAGGAGATACGTTTTGATTATTCTAAAACATGCAGAAAAAATCATATACCTTCAACAGTTTGACCAGGAAAGAAGCAGCATGTCCATTGGTAATCTTGTGATCCCCGATAAATGACTCCAGGTTGAAGTCCATATCGGGCATTGATGTGAAAGCAAACCACAGTTGATCAGATGGAGGTGGCTTTATGTATATACGCAATGTACCTCTGAGGGATGCTACCCTCACTGCCAAAGAGAGAGGTACCTTTGCAACCAAAAAAAAATTCAGTTACCTCAAGAGCAACAGTTTAGGTTGTTCGCAACTTGGTGAGCCGAAGGAATAATAAAACATCTGCAAGATACCAAATATTTAATTCGTGTCTCCAAGAACATAAAAAGTGTAGGAAGAAAAGATAGATTTTCGTTTCTACTTCCAAGCTTTCTAGTTGAATGTTTGTTGGTTTGTAATTGTTATAGCCAGCGCTCCCAAGAAGTTGTTGAAAGACATCATATTCCAAACATTGCAGGTCTCTTAAAGATTTTATTACATGCAAAATGTAACTACTGTAATCTATATTATGACACTTTAATGCAAAATAACTTTGAGAGGACACAATATAAGCTTCAAGCAGTTGTTTAAAGTATATGCCTAGAAGTGGTATTAACTTGTTTTTACTACATTCTGTCATTCTTCTTCCATTACACTCCGTTAAAATATATACGTTTCCACTCTTGCCTCCCATAATCCATCAACAATTAACAGCCACCACCAGAGACCGAGGCCCCTGGCTCCCATGTCACCATGCTGGCAACGAAATGAGAGTGAACTTCAAAAAAATTTCCCCAGAATATTATGTCAATGCCAGCAAATCATAGCCCCAAAAAGTTATTGCAAGCAAAATTAATTTTACAAGTGTACAATAGGATTGAACATCACAATATCTGATAGGACAGAGTACAAATTTGGATGAAACATTACTTAACGATAAGTAACAGTTCAAGGATTCCAAACATGCTATTCAACTCGGGATAGATGTGATGGAAAATATAGAGGGATCAACCCATCTTAGACAACCGCATCGTATTGGTAAACTAGGATACAACCAATATCAGAGGAAAGGCTTCCAAAGCTTTAAAGGAACAGAAAACTAATTAAGGAGTAAAATAAGGAATAAAAAGAGAGAGAGGTTTACCTGTGAAACATGTTTGGCAACAGAATTTAACATAGACTTCCATCTGGATCCAGTGCTTGAGGAAGAGGAAGATCTCCTAAAGCTCTTAGATAGGTCTGCAATACAAATTAAAGCAAAAATAGCATTGATAACTTCTCAATGACTACATAAAGGTACTTTCATCTTCTCTCAGATTCTCTATTCTCTTATTCTTCTTCTCTTAACATATCTCCGGACTCTTCTTTCCACTATCAATGGCATGGAAAAGATAGCAAGTAGCAGCAACTAACTATCCCTGGGCCAATCAAAACGGCATAGAAACAGAAGAATGCACAAGTAATTGGTTTATAAAGCTCAGGCAAAAAAAAAAGTTGGTTTATAGAGCAAAACAGGGCTGACGACTTCTCAAATGACTATGGGAAGTTCCCAACTAGAATTCCAAAAACAGTCAAAGATAATGTCAATAAAAGGTAAGGCATTGAATTACCCATGTAGTTTCTTTAATCCCATTTTCATGGAAATAATATTCAACTTGATCTAGTAAGTTGGCAAAGCATCAAACAAGTGGAATAAGCACAAAATGTTGGATTTGATATGATTCATATACTGACCAATATTTGCATCACCATCTTCCTTTGGCTCGTGCAAGTCACTGCTACCTTCAGTGAGGTTCAACTGTTTTCCCAAATATTCAAAACCCTCAAGAAGATCTGCAGGGACATCCCCAACATTGCTTGAATCTGGATTTGAATCCTCTATCTCTTTATGAAGATCTAGCTCACCAACTTCTAGCCTTGTTTCAATCTCTAATAAAGCACCACCAGCATATTCAATGTCAGCTTCTAAGGTCCATACCTCACTCATTTCCAAAGGAAGGACCCTGACTCCTGTGATACAAGGAGGGATGTTCCCAGTGCTGAATTCTGTCAAGACGACTTCACCAATATAACTGGGAGTTCTCATACTAGACAATTGTTTCTGTCAACAAACAGAAACAACCAAAATTATTTCACAGCATCCATAAAAGAATTCTGTTTACTGTAGGGTGGCAAGCATTGAAAAGCACAGTGGTAGAAACAAACTCCAATCCCCCCTTCAAATACTACCTACGATCTTGATACTGACAACCTGACCGTTACCCTTTGCTGGCATTATCAGGCTTCAGAACACCACTTATTCTGATCAATGAAGTGGCATATGCTTCATCCCTTAGTCAGTAAAATTAACTCCATGGATGTAGTTAAAAAAGAAAAGAATTCCATAATTATAATGTGATAAGCTTAACAGACATAGTTCATCTTGTATCTATAAACTTTATTTTCTGGACCAACTGGAAAAGCTACAAAGAGTCAAACTTGATTAGTAGAGGGGAATAACAACTTTTATGCAAATTTTGGTTTGAATAACGGTTATATTGCTCCTTAGTAATTAACAAATCAACCCCCTTCGCCCTCATCCCAAAAATAAATATTCTCAAATTCATCAATATCATATGGGAAAAGACCTGAATCTTTGCTTGAAAAAATCTCTTTAACTCTGCACTGCCTTTGGCATCAAAAAAGAAGCGGGAAATCAACAAATTCCAACATAATGTTCCCTCATCAATACCAATCTTCTCATCAGAATCAACAGCACAGAAATGACTCTGGCTTTCTGAACTGTATTTTTTTGACGAAAATGGAGATGCATTGTCTTCAGCTGAACTCTTATAATGCTTTGCTGAAGAAGGTTTCATCAAGCTAACAGACAAAACCGAATCTTTACAAGCATGAGGCTTCTCACTATTCTTTTTTTCTTCACGGCCTGACAATGAAGACCCATTTGATTTATTATCTAGACCAACTCTGGAAGTCTTCCTTGACAATTTCTTCAAAAATTGACGAACTTTTGAGGGAGCACTATCAGGCTTACTAGCCCTATCTATTGCCTCAACACTGGATCCTACCGATGGTTTCATAAAAGAAGAATATTCAGCATTTAAAGATATCATATAACTATGAAACTCTTCATGCAACTGGGAAAACCATTTTAATTTTTCATTTTGATCACAAGAAGCCAGACGAAGGGCCTTACACCAAGATTCTTTCTCCCATGAAGTCTCAAGATATATGTAAAAGATTTTGCTGCCATTATATATTGCAGAAGTCTTGCTTTCAACTTTGATGGGGAGCTTCTTTGCCCTGTACAACCGATCAGCATTCAGATAACGACATGGAAGCAATATTTTCCTCATTGAATTTCCAAGAAATCAAAATTATCTTTGCAGTATTATTTGATATATTATCCCCATAAACCAAGCTATGACAAGACAAACTTACAATGAAAAAGCATGCAGGCGCAGAGATAGGCATAGATAATGAGATTTCTCCATATTAATTTGAATATCGTGTTAAGTTTGAAAAGAAACACTATCCATTTTCTTCAAAGGTCAATCATTTGTTGAATCAAAATGCTACGCCTCTCAAACATATGTTCCCTTTAAACTAAATCTACCATTACTAGTCTTGGATAATGTTCAATGAACTGTCATTCTTCATGATGGGGAGATCAATGGATTCACATATATTCCATGCTGCTACTCAAATAAATTGCACTGGCCAGACATGAGCAGTGGGCAACGGCATGATGCTAAATGTTTGTCAGTTTTTGCAGTTTTCAGAATCCATGGCTAGTCTCGATTCTATATTAAATATTTGAAACTGCTAGAAAAACTCCCAAAAAATCTGTCTTCAACACTAAATAACCGAGATTTTTTAGGGCAAAAAAATTCTGATTCTACATTATGAAATACTCAATTGGAAATTAACAAACAGTGAATGTTTGAAAGTTCAAGAATTACTGATGCTTTTCCATGTTTCCACATTACATTGCATGATTTTTTTTTAAATAAATAACTAATTTATTATCATTAGAAAATTAGTTTAGACGATGAAAACGTAGTATTTTTTTCAGTGAATCATTCAATTTCTAATACTCTACCTAGCCAAAAGCCATGGTAATTGGCATTCTTTTATTCACAGTTGAATGAGTTAGGGACTTTTACTCTGCTAATTTCACCATCTCCCTGTTCATTGGGCATGCAAAATTGTACCCACATTTACATTAAATCTAATGACAGATGTTTTGAGCTTAAACAAAAAGTAAAAATTCAGTCCGTTGAAATAAAATAGTAACATTAAAAATCCCTGAATCCTGAACCTCTTCTTGGATGTTGCCACAGAAGTTCAACAAAATAAGAGCAGCCAACAAGGATGACTTGGAAAGCATGTTACCATTTTTTCGAAGAAAGGCTTGCAGCAGAAACAGCTTCAACCATGCATCCCTTTAGCTGAATAGTTGTATACAATCCATCAGGTTCTGTCAGAATAAGTGATTGATCGGTGATTTTTCCATACTTTTTAACAGGAGAAACCTCCACGAAGTCTTTTTTTCTTTTTTGCTCTCTTGACGTTCTGTCAAGCAAGACTTTTGTGATTTTGTCTGCCTCTAGAATCCAAACCACACCCTGAAAGACCACCGATGAAATGTATAATGAAAAGAAAAGACAGAAACGCCACAGATATTTTTTGAGAAAAATATGTTACAAGCAAAAAAGGAAATTATAAAGAAAATTGAAAAATGAGCATTAATAGAGCTAAAAAGTGATTAGGATGATTAATAAAATGCTGAAAGCAGATGCAACATGTCTGAAACTCTAAAAATCAGATATTGAAAATTATTCCAAATAAAGTTTTCAGCCTACCAAAGCTCTACGCTCACTGTAAATTTGTAAGAATGGTTCTTTTTAAGGTATAACATAGCAACTATGGTATGTGTATTGCTATCATTACAGCAACGTATGTCAATGAGCCATTAATAGATAAATATGTATTCAGGATGATTAATAAAATGCTGAAAGCAGATGCAACATGTCTGAAACTCTAAAAATCAGATATTGAAAATTATTCCAAATAAAGTTTTCAGCCTACCAAAGCTCTACGCTCACTGTAAATTTGTAAGAATGGTTCTTTTTAAGGTATAACATATGCAACTATGGTATGTGTATTGCCTATCATTACAGCAACGTATGTCAATGAGCCATGATAATATATCGTAATTCAGGCATGTCCATTAACATGTTTCTCCTCTTGAGTGAAAACTCCAAGATACAGGTTATAATTTGAGAAGTATCTTTGCGTGGTTCAGATTACAATTAGCCTAAAGGGAGAACGCTTCAGAAAATGCTATATCAAAAGAAGTTGAAAATCATTGTACGCAAATATAGCATCCTTAATGAAAGGCTTACTTGTCAGAGCAATGCAGATAGTCATTGATGCTTTAATTTTATGATCAAGATGACAAGAATATCATGCAAAACCTTAAATGCCCTAAAAACTAGAGGTTGAAGAGTTGCACAAAAACAGAGATGACGTTACATCTTAAAATCGATGCATCTGGCAGAAGCAAAGTCACGTAAAGGATGAGAAGCATCCGTAAAGTGAATGCTTGCTAGCAAGTCCTGCTCATATCTGTTTGCTGCTACGTCAAATGAAGGAAGTAATCCTATTCCTCCAGAAACTAGAAAGCTTCTCTTTGGTTGTGATTGAAACATGTACAGTATTCCCTAAGATATGACTCACGTTTTAATTGTCACTAATTGATTTCAAGAGTACAGGGAAGTAGAAGGAAAATAAAACTGTTTCATGATCTTCAGATTTCGGCACGAGTAACTGACTCACAGCTTAGTATTCTAGTAATCGTCTAATCGTCTTTCTTTATTCTCTTAAAGTTTTGAATATTTTCTGGTATCATGGTAAAAATATGGTAAAATCATAAATGCTCATATTCAATACTAAGGGGAAAAAAAAATATACCTTGTTCAAAACCGCAGCTTAACAACACATGCAACAATACAGAATATAACATTCTAAAATAGAAAAGAACATGAGAACAAAAGTCCAATCTAAGAAAACTGCAAAAGTAGTTTCCAACCACAACTAAAGCATTATGGCAATCCCCGTTTTGAGATAATCTCAGCAAAGCAAACATAATATCCTGACGGCAAAAAATGTTTCTTTTCTGTTTAACCAAATTCAATAACTAGAAAAGTTTGCGAGACGTGTTGCTCGTGGTAAAAAAAACTTTTGTTGGCCACGCCATTTGTTCGAGATAATTACCTGCTTCATAAGTGAAGAATTTAGGGACTCTCGGGTATCAATTTCCCGGCCCCCCACGAGACATTTCGATTCGACTCGTTTCTTGATCTGGTTGCCTATAAATTTTATGATCCATAACACACCCAAAGCTTCCACAGCAACAACCACCACCACCCCGAGAGCAAAACCAATGAGAATCAAACCAAAAACCAAAACCATTTCAGCCCCAATGTAGATTTCAACCGAGCTATCTCTTCGTGATAAATGAAGTTAAGATGATGGAATCGACGAGCCACTAAGAGCAAACAGAAAACAACAATGGTGCGGCCATGAGGGAGGTCATTGTGAGCAATACAATAGCATATATTCCCAAATGATTAAGCAAGCAAGAAACGAAGCTGCTAAAGGATCAGATGCCATCAATGCGTGTTACTTTCTTCTTTCCCGTCAAGGAAGCTCACAGAGAAGATGAAGGGAGGAAACGAAGCGTGCAGTGAGACACAAACGATAACGGTTGGGCATCGATTCATCCTACCTCAAAGGTTTTTTTTTGGGTAAAATTTATCAAGGTTATTTTTTTGGCCAGTGAGTATCAATATATCAATTTTTTTTTGCCAACAATCATTATATCAATGCAAATATTTAACATCAATAATGGAAAAAATTATACATGTTATGTTCGGAAAATTGGGAGGAAAAAAACTTCTCATTAAAAATTTTATTAGTACAAATAACATTATTTTATATGTATAAAATTGTAAAATAACGGAACTTTTATGTATAAAAATTTATCAAGTATTTCCCATAATTTTTTTATTTAAAAAAGAGACTTTTTCTCAGTTTTTCTATTATGTTTTATGAAATATAATGTAATAATATTAATACATCAGTCAGTTGGAATGTTCATTTTCTCCTTGTGTAAGATGTTTTGTTAGGAAAAATGACAACAAAATATCACCTGAATTCCAAAAAGACAAATAAGGGACCTGAATAAGCAAAATGACAAATACGGGACTGGGTACCAATCTGGAATTCAGATTTTTGGCCAAAAGACCAAAATGCCCTGTCTGAAAGTGAGAGAAAGGAGAGAGGAAGACGGATGAGAAATACGGGAAGGGAAGGAGAGGAGGAAGACTGATGAAATCGGGAAGAAGAGGAAGGAGAGAGAGGAAGACACTAATTTCGATGGGTTCCCAAGCTTCTTAAAATGTTATTGCCTAGCATTCCTCTTTTTGGTTCTGTCTCTATTCTTCGCATAAAACCATTTTCAGAGAATGTGAAGTGTCTGGTTTCTAGTATTATTAAACCATTTGTCCTGAATTTTACAAACACATATTGTGATTTACAACTTTTGTAGTGAAAGTGACTACTTTGTTAATGGGTTTTGCAACTTGTTTTCAGGAGATAAACAACTTGTTTGTAAAAACTAATAAAATTCCACGTTAAATTTGACAAAACGTATAGTGGGATTTATAACTTCCGTAGTAAAAATGACCTCTTATTCAATGGGTTTTGCAACTTGTTTTCGGGGGATGGACAACTTGTTTCTAAAAATTAATAAAATTTCATACTAAATTTGACAAAAACATAGTGAGATTTACAACTTTCGTAGTAAAAATGATCACTTTTTCAATGGGTTTTGTAACATGTTTTCAAAGGATTGGCAACTTGTTTTAAAAAACCAATAAAATTCCATGCTGAATTTTACAAAACATATAGTGATATTTACAACTTTTGTAGTGAAACTTACCACTTCTTAAATGGGTTTTGCAACTTCTTTTCAGGGGATAAGCAGCTTGTTTTCTAAAAATCAATAAAATTTCATGTTGAATTTTACAAAACACACAGTGAGATTTACAACTTTTATAGTAAAACTGACCACTTCTTAAATGGCTTTTGCAACCAGTTTAAAAACCAATAAAATCCATGCTGAATTTTACAAAACATATAGTGATATTTACAACTTTTGTGTGAAACTTACCACTTCTTAAATGGGTTTTGCAACTTCTTTTCAGGGGATAAGCAGCTTGTTTCTAAAAATCAATAAAATTTCATGTTGAATTTTACAAAACACACAGTGAGATTTACAACTTTTATAGTAAAAATGACCACTTCTTAAATGGCTTTTGCAACCAGTTTTCAGGGGATGGACAACTTGTTTCTAAAAACCAATAAAATTTCACGTTGAATTTTACAAAACATATACTGGGATTTACAACTTTTGTAGTAAAAGTGACCACTTTGTTAATAAGTTTTGCAACATATTTTTGGAGGATGAGTAACTTACTTTTCACCACCAATAAAATTTCACACTGAATTTTACAAAACACAATGTGATTCACAACTTTTATAGTGAAAGTGACTACTTCAATGGGTTGTTTTCACCGGAAAGGCAACTTATAAGCATAAATAAATCATTCAGTGAACGTGCACCTGAAGTACATCACAATAAACATTGAACTATTAACTTTCATAATTAACTACGTATAGTAAAATTTACCATTCACGTAATGGGATTTACCAAAAACCAGCAAGCATATGACAACAGTTACCTTACGTAATTGCTTGCCATTGTTTTCTGATTTCCGCTTCATCTTTCCCACAGGTTACTCCCCTCTCTCACTACAAATCCTCTTTCCCACAACCAAACCCACCAAATCAACAATCTCTATAGAATGGTGATGCGAAGGAGTAAGATAATAGCATTTCCAACATTCTTCTTTCCTTCTTCCCGCATTTCATCAGCGTCGGTCTTCCTCTCTCCTTTCTCTCACTTTCAGATAGGGCATTTTGGTCTTTTGGCCGAAAATATGAATTCCAGATTGGTACCCAGTGCCCTAGTTGTCATTTTGCTTATTCAACAATAACGTTAAAAGAAGCAGAATTAAAGAGTAGTGTAGAAGGCATTTTAGTGTCATTATTTTATCAATTTATTTTGTTGATTTGCTTTATTAAATCCTTGTTATGGGGATTATTGTAACTTTATTTATGAATTAATATACGTTTTCCGCTCCCTATTATTAATGGATTGGATTTAATTTATTCTCGTATATCTTTTTACATTTTTCCTTGTTGGCGTATATAGGTCAGTAACCGTTAAATACTTACTCACTCACTATTGCTATGTATTATCCCAAAGAAGTACTCTTTTGGCACACTTTTCTCGTCCTTCTAAAAAATTACTCAAGCCATCCCTTATTATAAGATCTAATTTTTTTGAATAGGTTTATTTTTTTTTATAAGATCTATGTTAATTTGTGTAAACTTTAATGTATATTATCTATTTTATCCCTAATTTAATTGATTTAATATATTATTTTTCTTCATTTATCTCACTATTACTCTCTCACATCTACTCATTTACATATAAAGGTATATTTGTAAAAAAAATTACTACATATTAATCACTTTTAACTAATTTTACTGTTTTCTTAACCGCATAATTTAGTTACAAAGATCTTATAATAAGAGACAAAATAGTAGTAATTAGAAATCATTGCTCTGATTTTTAGCACCTTGGTAAGAAAAGTGTATGAATACTAGAATGTGGTATTTATTCAATATCTTCTTTTTTTTTTGGTTATACACTGCCTGGTAATTCGGCACCTATTGGCAACCGATTAATCCGGACTCGAGAGGTAGGAGAGTCACGGTTTTCCAGCAGTAGTTGTCCCCTCTCCCAACGAGAGCGCTTTCCGGGATCGCGGATTCAAACACGTGTCTTATCCTTACAAAGGACGAGCCCACTTATCACCTCAACCAACTGCTCGTTGATGGTATTTATTCAATATCGTGCCGCCCTTGTCAGGTAAAGATTTTTTTTTTCTAAGACGGAAAATCAAGCATTTTTTTAATACTAGCCGATTTTCGAAAATCATATCAAGTTATCCAGCATTTCCTCCAATAAAACTAAACTAACACAAATTCCATATGTGCCCAAAAAAAAAAAAACTGATTCTACTCTCCATTAAAGCTAAAGGAAATCAGAAACCCTACATACATTAATCAAACAAGTAAAAGTCTGAATAAAATTAAGTACAAAAAAGATGAGAAATCTTGAGACTCCGATCCAAAGTCTAAACTCTTACCCTCTATTAATGAAACTCGCAAAAACAACCCCAAAAAACCAAACTCAGTTTAGAAGACCCCCAGCCGCAAATCTTTAGTAGCTTGAACCTAGGGTTATACACTCCTTAGACATATAACCTCCCAAGTTTCTCAATGGCACTCATCGGAATATGCTGCTAGGGGAATTTCACATGCCGGTGTCAGATGAAATTGAACCTTCTAAAAGCCTCCAGAGTGAGAAAAAGAACGACAAAAATAAGCAGGGTTCAGCCACTTAACTGACTGACAACTTCCTCTCTTCCCATCTATTCCCTCATGTCACTCTATTATATCTCTCTTATCTTAGAGACACTTCACAAACTTACAACTTGAGAAAATCCCAATACTGCCGAAGCCGAAAGCCAAAACACAAAGGTGGTCAGGTAGTTATGCAGAAAGAGAGCAATTTACAGAGAAGAGTGGGATGTGAAGAAGTTGAAGTCATGGTGGTGGAAATTGAGCTGCTTTAGCCATGAATCTGCAGCACTGTACATATAGGCTAGCCTTTCATGATCAGATGATGAATTTGGGTTCAGCCACAGATCACCCTGCATTTTGTAAGTGGCTAGTCCGAAGGGAGGCATTGATATAAAGCCCGAGCTATTTTTCTTGCATTTCTCTCCTCCAACACTTTCCATGTTTTCCAAGCATAGGTCTTTCCCATTGTTGATGTTATCATATTCCATTGCACAATCTGCAGATCCACAAGAAACTATGCTCAGAACTCGAGTCCACAGACCATGCCCAAGTATAATAGTCCAGCAGCAACGATTATGAAAAGACAAATAACTGCATTCAGATTAGATACCTTCGAAAGATGATGACAATGTATGGAAAGTGAGGAAGCATGCTGCCAAATCCTTTTCGTTTTTCTGACTTGGTATGGAATAAATAGGGTACCTTAAAATGATAACAAATCAATATAACAAGTTCAGAAAGTAATAAAAAAAAACTACAAGTCCAATAAGAATAATCTAATTTATATATTATAGAGAAACCAAAGAGAAAGTAGAAGTTGAGAGAGAGAAGATTCTTCTCCCTAACTCGAATTCTAAATCATATAGAAACTAATAATGTGGTATATCTTGTCTTAGAATTTAGAAATCACAATGCAAATCAATTTAATCTTAGTTAAATTTAGACAATGACATTAGAGAGATAGTTCAAAGCAGCCACTTAATATCAACTATATTAGCTATGTTGAGATGTCAGAATGCAATAATCTGACGAATGGTAATTATAATGTCAATGAAACAGAAGCGAGTTTTATTCTAAGCGCTAGCTATCCATTAGTAAAATAAAATCGTTTAATCATCAGTATTACAAT